AAAGATATGCTGGGCCGTCGCCCGGCTTGGCACGCTGGCTAGGCACGCCTGGGTCAGCTGGGCAGGGGGTTCGCCCGACAAAACCAGACAGGCCAAGAAAGAGGCAAGGATCCCACCCACCCCCCAAAAAAAGACATCAGGCTAGGACTGCGCTTGGCCTAAGCAGTCAGAATCCCGTCTTGACTTCAATTTTGGTGATGGTTCATCCAGGGGGGGGTGAGGGGTATAAACAGTGACTACCGGGTTTAAAAGGTACATTTTGACTGGATGCTTTCTCATTACTTCTTATCTTAAACCACCACTACCTTTCTCAGTGTTGGGAAAAGTGAGAAAATAATAAATATCCTTTTTTTTCCTTTTTTTCTTTTTTTTTAACAAAAGCCCAGGTTGTTATAGAGGTCGAATATCGACATAGGTGGAGCGCTGGAGTGGAGACTTCCCAATAGGCAACCAATGCAGTATTATTCTCGACAACGGAATCGGAAGTTCTCGTGGGGAGGTATGGCTCGAGTTGGTGGTATTCCACTGGCGCCAATCACAGATCGCACGCCGGCCAGGTGCGGCCTCATGGCTCCTACCTATTCTGATAACGGAAGGGTCAGCTTCCTGGTACTACTCCAGCTCAACCAGCTAGTGGGTACCCTGACGCGCGATGACAGGACTACCTCCCTACCCTACCTCACGTCAAATCTCCTAACGCACCCTCTATACCTAGTATCCTACCTCAGTGGTAAGCACTCGGGGCAATCACCCTACCCCTCAGAGGGTGACGTAGACCGAACAGTAGTTATAGGCACCTGGACTGGACAACAACCCCACCCAGCCCCAGTGGAAGCCTGAACGTGCAAACCTTGTTACTCGAAGACTTTGTACGTGAGCCACAATCAGTATCACTATCAGTCCATGCCGACGAACTGAATCGCAGCCAAGTATTCGCACAGACCAGAGCAGACTCCCCGTCGCCTGGATCTGAACTCCATGACGAACCCATGACAGAGATCGGTCTCCCCCACCTAACTCTCCTGATATGTCAGTGTCTGTTGTAACATATGTGTATGTGAAAGCAGTGTATCAGTGACTGTAGGCTGTGCGATTTGCCCATACGCCACGGGTGTGCGCCCTAAGACTGTGTATAGGTACACCCGTAGGCAGTGTAGGTACCGAGAACCATGTGACACTATGAGTATGTGTGTATAACAGCTATGCCAAACTCAAACCTATAACCAACCTGTAGTATGTAACTAGGATAACCTACCATGCATGACGGATGATGGGGGAGATCATCAGAGCAACAAGTAGCCAATGTCCTCAAGTAAGCTGCGTAGGTAGAATCCGACATGTAACAACCCGGACTAACCCTTGGGTGGTGCACAGACAGTGTCTGTAATAGCTTACCAGCGTCAGCCCAAGGGGGTGTGTGTCCAGCCGTGCGTCATTCTAATGCCCTGCCGGTGTCCACGTGCGAAGCTACAATGGAGTTTTGAACCCGCAACCTCATACCACCATGCGCATTTCCAACCGGTGCTCTAACCACTGAGCTAATATCCTATACCGCAAACTTCAGAGGTCCAAGGAGGCTCGGCACAAAAAAAAAAAAAAAAAAAAGAACTTTGAATCTATTAACCTATACCACAAACTTCGGAGGTCCAAGGAGGCTTCGGTGGTTGAGCGCCAGCTGCTCACATCCCCCTGTGCCTTCATGGCCCACTTGCACATTATTTCAGGAGGCAGAGTAAAAGGGAAGGTATGCTCCTGTGCATCTCTTCAGAGCTTCATACTCCTGTTCGTTTCACTTCAGATCTTCAGCTTAT